AGATTTAAATCCTTCCTCTCCTCTACCTGCAGGAGAATTATATATATATTTATATATATATATAAACACACATACATACATGCATATATCTATATATATATTACCATTTTGCTCCTTAAAGGAAAGGCAGGGAATAATGGTGCTGTCAGAAAATGCCAATTTAAGGAGGCTCTGCTAATTAGAGAACACAGGACAGCCCTGCCCTGTCTGGCACTGCACAGGACCCCTGAAAATCTAATTCCAAATGGATGTCAAGCCCGTGGATCAGCCACATGTCTCAGAGTCCCCACCAAAACCTGGGATGAGGGTGGATTAAATCCCTTCAGAATGGGAGGGGAGACTCCCACAAGTGTTGCCAAGGCAAACGTGACACCTCTGTGGGGTCCCGACCCCAGCTGAGATCTGGCTTTTCCTAAAATCTTCCTAATTAATCCTCAGCATCCTCCTGCATAATCCCCCCCAAATCCCGCTTTAATTTGCTTTCCCCACGCAGTGAGTCTCAGCTTAATCCCCAAAAGAGCAGCCACAGCTTTGCTCACTTGGGGCATTTGTTTAAACTCTCTCAGGTTTTTGTTTGTTTTTTGTTTTTTGGTTTTTTTTTCCTGTTAGACAACACATGAGGCACAGAAAATGAGGTATCAAAAAGTCTCCCTATTTTTTGGAGCTGAAAGCAGACCTGCAGAGTGCAAAGGTTTTTCCTACTCTGCTGCTGTTTGGGTAAAGGGGGCAGATTAAGGAATAGCCATATACTATTTATGTGCCTTCAGTATTTTGTTATGGATCAAGGGTTTCACCTCCCTACCCTGAAAACTCACAGCCCCAAAAGGCTGCAGACCCCCTCCCCCCCAAAAAATCCCTCCAACAGCTGGAGGGTTCTGCTCTGAGAATCCTCAGTTAATTTGGGGGATTTCACAGCTGGAAGCTCAATAAATGGAAAATAAAGCCAATCCAAAGAAAACAAGAATCTTTGGAATAAAAGGTGTTGGAATGAGGGTGATGTTTTGGGGGAGGAGGGGGGTTCCCCAAATCTCTGCTGCTCTGGGGTCACACGGGGTGGGGGGGGGAGGTTGTCACACACTCTGGGATTTGAGGCAGCAGTGACAGAATTAGGGCTGAGTGGTGGCTTCCATGGAAACCCCTATTTCCAAGTGGTTTATGGCTTTCTCATCCCATGGCATCTCCGGTGGGAATTTGCTGGGCAAAGCAGGGAGTTATTCTGGAAGGACTGGGGGTTTGCAGAACATATTTTCGGCTCATTTCATCCCATTTTCCCCCCTGGGGGAGGAGGTGTCACTGGGTACTGATGCCCTGTCTGCCAGCTGTGCCCAGCTGTGCCCAGCCTCTGCTTTCTGCACCAGTATTCCCAGTGGCACCAGGGATGATTCTGTGCAGGAATCATTGGGGGAACTTGAATCTCTGGGGACCTGAACCTCTAATCTGAGGACAAAGTGGCCTTTTAAGCACCTGCCCCCTGTTCTCTCCTTATTTGAGTTCCTGAGAGCTGAAAATCAATGCCTTTTACAGGGGCTTTAAAAGCACACCAAAAAGAAAAAAAAAACAAACCAAAACCCACTGGAAGGTAGAAATCTGATCACAGAATTTTGGAATGGTTTGGGTTGGAAGGGACCTTAAAGCTCACCCACAGTGCCACCCCCTGCCGTGGGCAGGGACACCTTCCACCAGCCCAGGTTGCTCCAGGGATCCTGCGCTCTTTGATCCCATCCCTGTAATTCCACCTCCTGTTTTTAGTCCCCCAAACCTCCAAAAAAGCGGATGATGTCCCAGCTTTTGCACAGCTGATCCATGTCCTGGGACAATCCCAGTGTTAATGCTGCCCCTTAACTCCTTCTGGTACCCAACCAGGGATAAATCTGCTGCCCACTCACCCACCAGGGATTGCCCTGAAGAGCTGAGCAATGGAATGAATCCCATAAATCCCCTGGGATGCACTAATGGAATCAGGGGATGGAGCTGGGAAGGAGTTGGAGCAGCAGGAGCAGCTGAGGGAGCTGGGGGGGCTCAGCCTGGAGAAAAGGAGGCTCAGGGGGGACCTTCTGGCTCTGCAATCCCTGCCAGGAGGGGAGTTCCCAGGGAACGAAAGGGTCCAGCAGAACAAAGTATTATGATTTACTTTCCAGGGGGTTTAAAGCTTTCATTTAATGCTTTTTGTCTTTACCTGAGTTGATGTTTGAAGTGAAAATGAAGTTTCAGAAGGAAGCAATGCTTTTGGTTAGGAAACCTTCCCAATATTCGTCTTTCCTTCACCTTTCAGGGGCACACAGGTTATGTTTTGGGGGGAGGGGAGATGACAGAATTCACCCAAAAGAATTCACTGAGTTTCTCATGCATCGTTTGATTTCCATCCGTAATCTATTCTCCAACAGAAGGAGCAAACTCACACAGCCCAAGGGATAATTTCAGAAGCGACTTGTTGATTAATTAGCAATATTTATTGATAGCAGCTCCGTTATTTCTTCCAAGTATTAAGCCCAATAAGCTTTTCAGCTGCTCAGGTTGTGTAAAGAATTAAGCAGGACTCTGTTGCAGCACAGGGTGCCCAGGTAATGAATGAGCTGCTTTCTCAAATAACTTGAAAAATGGAGACAATTTCCAGAGGGTGGGTGGCTGGGCAGGGAGAGATTTCCTACCAGCTGATGCCAGCTTGGAATTTTATGGAATATTTTCAGGTTTGGTCTGCTTTGTCTTTGTAATGTTCTCATGGTGAAGCTTTCGGATTTTAGCTCAAGGTGAAGATGGTCTTGGCCATCCC